GCATCCCCTAGTGGTGGGAGGAGACTATAATCTCTTATGTATTTAGAGTAACAGGACTCCCATCACCAAGGACTCTGATTTTGAGTAAGGATGGGAGAACTCCACAAGCATCATCCCCAAGTCACTATGAGGAAGCTGCACTTGGCCAGTTTGGAGGCATCTGATAAGGAAATCAAGCAACATCTGCTCCCCAAGAGCTCGAGGAACTAGATTAGATGTTCACAGGGTAACAGAGAAGGATCATAAACGTACTGTGCTGAGTGAAAACAGTAAGAAATAGAGTAGTTTGTATGCATAAGCCACTTACATAAAGTGCACCCAAAATCTGTCTCATAACCACACTTAATCTGAGGGCTTGAAAGACCAGAGAGTTAAGAGTTAAAAACAAGATACTGTTTCTCAGCTAAACACAGAACTGGGCCTCATGACTCAGTCCTAACTCAGCCCTGCAGGAAGATCAAAGGAAACATCTGCAAATGTGATATGCTCTGGCTACACTGTGCCAGGGAATTCAGAGATAAAACTTGCCAGAATAATATGCCAAGCAGTTCCCAAGTGCCTTGACAGGGCGGTGGCCAACCAGAACGGAATGTTGGTGTTGTACTCTAGAAAAAAACAACTTTGTTATATTTGTATTACACCAAAATACCTGTACTGTGGCCATACTGTATATATGTTTCCCTTCCCCCTCCCCCTCCCTCCCTGTTAATCAATGCTCTCCTCTTTAAAGAAAGAATTGTAAATTCCTACAAGACTTCCTGTCCTCTCCTAAGAGAAACAAAGGTTGTTAATTGCTGCTAGACTCCTCTATTCTCTGCTGAGGAAAATAGGATCTTCCGCATTCACCTATTTCCTGATCCATGCCCATGACCTTTACTTTGTGAGTGGTGATAGGTACGAGAGGTGTGGCAAGTAGAGAGAAAGGACACAGCTTTGACAGTCTCCTACTGAGGCTCCTGTGGGCACAGGGGAGGACAGCACAGGGTGTCACTGCCCCTGCACGCCTTCCTGGGCCAACACAGAGAGCTGTGGTGGTGTCAGAGCTGGTTCTCACCCTGGGAAGGCCCAGCCCTGTGGTTGGGAACTAAGACACCTGCGCTGCAGCCTTGCCTGCTCTGAAAGGCTGGCTGTCACTGGCCCAGGCCAATATGTATTTTTTTAAACAAAAAGTTAAAAAAATAAATTTTAAAAGTAGACAAAAGCTTATAGAATAAGGGTATAAAGAAGAAAATGTTTTGTATAACTTACTAGAATAAGAAAACTATACATACATATTAGTTCATAAACCTAAAAAGTCACCTTAAGTTAGGTTTAATTTATTACTCAAGAATGAGTTTTAAGTACAGATTTAGTGCAGCTTTCAGGTTGTGTCCAGAAATCCATGGGAGGGAGCAGCGGTGCTCTGGGCCTTGACCCTCGGGCAGCGCTCGCTCAGAGTGGCCTGCAGTCCCGGGAGCTCCATGCTTCCTGGGTGCCCCACAGGACCTCCTTATGGCTTCCTGGATCCTGCATTCTCGCTACACTTTCCGGTGCTTAGACATGTTCACAGACACACATGCCTTTGTGCCACAGCTGCCTGCAGGCTCGGGATGGTAACAAAGCACTAGGTTTGTAGCCCAGGCACAGCACCTCTGCCACACAGCCCAGGCCTGTCCCTAAGCCCTTCTGTGACGTCTGTACAGCGAGGAAATGATGTCACAAAGCACTTCTAGGAGCATCCTTGGGGGTGAGGGAACCATGGTGACTTTGCTTTATACTAAGTCAGGTCAGTAGAGGTTGCTGGAGGGACACCGAAGAAGGGGGGTGCTTTTCCTCCTGGTTCTGGAGGCCACCTCCATCTTGTTTCTGTTATCCCTGATGACAGCTTCACATGGTCTGCACAAGCGGCCAGTGAGTGCCATCGGCCACCTTGTGCCGTTTTCCTGCTTCCGGTCTGTTGTCTGGGCCACTTTCATGAAACCTTCTACCAGATGGTCACAGCTGTGCCCTCTTCAGCCACAGCTGCCTAACTTCTGGTCAGGTGGGTCCCCCTACCCCACACGGTTTGCTTCTTCTTTGGGAGTCCATTCTAAATCCCTGCCCACTCAATTCTCTTGCCAGTAGGAATTCTGATGTCTGTCTGTTCTCAGTCGGAACCACTTTCCTGATAGTCATCCCATTCTTTCCTGCTGAAAACCCAGACTGTCCCTGAGTTTTATGAGCAAAAACCACCTGACTGAGCATCCGTGATGAGGTGGAAGGATGCCACCTCAATCACCGTACTACACGGTGGGCATCTCTTCCCAGAGCTTCAAACGCCATAGCCTTGTCTAGCAATCCATTGAAATTGTTGCGGTGTTGATTGCACATTTTTGGGCCTGTCTGCATCCATTTCTTTCCACCACAGTGCTGTGCACTATAAAAGGCATGGCAAGGGGTGACACCTGGGCAGATGGGCACAGATGGAGATCGGAGCCAGTTACCCTGCGTGCAACCTCTGAGCCTGATCCTTACTAATGACGTGACCTTGGCCAGCTTACTAAGTTTGCCGAAATTCAGTTTAATGTGATGTGAAATGGAGCTGCTAAGGCTGCACATGGGATGTTATAAAAGTCAATTGCGTGTCTATCAACATCTATAACACCTACAGCAGGAGGGTGGAAGGTCGGCGGTGGCTGTCATGGTGGTAAGGGTGGTGACATAACGATGCATTATGTATTATGCTCACTGTGGCAGTTTTCGGTCTAAGCAGCAATGTGAGGAAACAGTGAAGGAAAGGGTGTTTCACATAGAGTGGAAACTCAGGAAGGCACCACTGCACAGGTGGGTGGCACAGTATGAGGAATAAAGAACAAATAAATGGAAAGAGGCAACCTATTATTTCATGAGTTTTGGTCTTCAAAATAACACCCACAGAGCATGAGTACTTACCGTTTCTTCTGCTGGAGGATGTAACTCCCTCTGCCTGGTCTTGTTCAGAAAAGCCTTTCTGTGATTATTATTGATCACACACTGGCTCTGATGTCTTCACGTTTTCCAAGTCTCAGATCAGTGTGGCGTGACTGTACCGCGTGTCAGATGAGGCTCTTGGGAGCTCCCTTGCGGCTTTTGTCAATAATGTGGTAAGATGGGGCTGGAAGGCCTTGCGCTTTGGGATGCACACCTTGCCGGAGGCTGGAGCTGAGAATGGTAGAACCTACTGAGAGAACAATTACATAGCAAGTGTTGTGCTATCAACTGAGTTTGAAGATAGCAATCTTTACTTTAAATGAATTATCAGTACTTTGTGGTACTTGGCTGGGACTTTGTGCTTTGGATGTTTTGTTTTCTAGTTTAGATGATGAATTTTTGACTGCTAGCTCATCACATAGAAAAACTAAAATTTTATTCTACAGAAGGTCTGTCAGAAAATCTAAACATAAATAAACCTAGATAGAACTATTTTTAAAAAATTAATTTTACTGGTAAGCTTTTGTTACACATAATGGTCACGTTCATCATAGAAAACTTGCACCCGTATGTAATGGATCTTGATTCTTCCTCAGACTGTGCTATTCCAACTGCACATTTCACATATAAAAGTAGATACTGAGGAAGTGTGGGCTGAGTCACAGGACCCCTGCCTCCGCATGCTAGCTTTGTCCTCCCAGTTGCACAGACAGACACAGTTTTCCCTCAACTCTTTTTCCTACGGGGCTACTGGGGATCAAACTCATGACCTCATACTTGTCAGGCAGGTGCTTATGCTGCTGAGCTAAATCACCAGCCCACAATTTTCCCCAACTCTTTAACACTAGTGAAAATGCAATTCTAAACTAATTTTGATTGGGCAGGAATGGATGAGTTAATTCTCCCTGTTGCTGTTCTGTGGCACACTCTGTCCATGTTTTACCATGAACTTGCAAGAATTCTAAGTGATCATTTACTCTGTTTTAGCACTTATGAATATTTTGAAGAGTACCATAAAATTTGCAAACATATATAAAAACAATGGTATAATGGACTCCTTTCAAGTCATAACTTAATTTTACTGATGTTAGTATTCTGGCATATTCTTGTATTTCCTTTTTACTTGTTATTACTAAAAAATTAAGTCACACTATAAACATTACAATTCTGTAACAAACATTGCCTCACATAACTACAATGCCATTACCACAATAGACAAAAATCAGAATCATTATGTCAGTCTTTGTGAATGTCAAATATTCAACCTGCTATCAAATTTTATATACACATGTCTTCACTAGAAGTAAGAAGGAATCTAGGCTTATTGAAAGATGCTGCTGTTAAATATCTTACCTACCCATGCATTTATCTGTAATTTTTCATGGTGTTGACTTGAAGAGAATGATGCAAATCAGTTATCCTCGTGGTGACATTTAACATGTGCCTCTATCCTTCACAGTTCCCAAACCCTCTGAAATAGTCAAAATGCATTTAGGATGGGTTTTGAGTATTATTAAGTGATTATAGTGTACAGATAATGCTTTGGTTGTCACTTAGCTCTTCACTTTTCAAGCACTAAGTGTTGATTAATTTCCTAAAGTCTGACATTCAAAAGCAGATTGGTGAAGTGGCCTGTAATGACTTCCCAACTAAAAGAAACCTAGAAGTCAATTGCCTTTGCTAAATTCTAGAAAGGGGCATGCGATTTCCCCATCATAACAAAGCTTCCATTTGCAGTGGAGAGCCATATGTTTTCTCAAAAAAAATCACATGAAAGCATAATGTTAAATTAATGTTGTTGTAGACAAGAACAATGGCAACCTTGTGTTGATTTACAAAATAAATTTCTATAGCTCCGTGGTTCTCAGGTTCTAAAAGTTCACATAGTTTTTTGGGAAATCATAGTTCTTGGTACAATTTTAAGTTAACATATTGCTAAAATAGAAAAGGGAATATGAAGAAGACAGTTCCAAAACATTGCTGACTACAGTAGCCAAGGTGAAGATTATCCTAAAACATTACAGGAACTTGGTAAATGTCTTGTGACACTCCATATGAATTTGAAAGCAAAACTTCATGTTCAGTGTATACACATCTGTGCACAGGATTTCACCAATATGGAAAGAAATAGAAGCAGAGGAAATCTGGGCATAATTTTACTTTTTTTATTTAAGAAAACAATGCTTACAAAACACTCAACTAAATTTAATCTTATGCTTGCAGAAGCATTTTTTCCTTTACTTTTAGAATTGATACCAAATGAAAATTCAAACACACGTTTCTCAATGCTCAAATAATTTTCCCTTACTTGTATGTATTATAGCATTAGGAGCTACAGTGGCTGAAATATTCACTTGAGATTCTCACCATTGCGGATAATCTATTCAGTCTACCTAATTATTAAATTAAATGCCACCTTTGATAGCATTATGAAGAATTTCATATGCTTAATATCTTAATGAGGATTTTGGCTATGATGTTTAAAAGAAAAACTAATCCTCTGCATGGTTTAACTAGTGGACAAATTGATGGCCACATTTCAGCTTTGTAGAAACTGGCAGAGAACTCTCCTTTAGACCCTCTGATCATGACATTATGGGGCAAATTTTTTCCATTCTCTTAAATAGTTAAATATATATTAAGATAAAAATACAAGTGATTATTTCTAAGACTCTCTGTTTACCTGCTCTCTGCAGATCATTTGTGTCATAATTCTTTCTCAGATGTCTTACACTCTAGAATTTGGTCTCACCCTGAATAGGTTCTGAATTCTCTTGGTTGTTATGGAGCCTTCTATACCTGGGATACCCTGTCAATTTCATGGGCTTTAGGACTCACTTATTTTCAGTTTTGTTGTTATTTTTTTATGCCAACCCTTTCTTGACTATCCTGAAGTGCTGATGAATCAGCTCAGTGTCCCTCATTATAGCTGTCACACTGTCATTGCCAGTGGGCTGAATGGTGGCCAAAGGATGTGCCCCTTCTTCAGAACCAGAACCTGGGAGCACTGCCTTCCATGACAAGTGGTGGGATTAGATGAAGGAGTTTGAGGAAAAACCTTATCCTGGGTTGTCTGCATAGGCTCCAGATGCCCTCCCATGGGTCCTCAGTAGAGAGGCGGAGCAGATTCAGCTCCAGACACAAGAAGAGCAGGTTCCATGACTGCTGAAGACAGCTGAGGGAGATGTGGTGACACGGGAAGAAACACCAGCTGCCACGTGAGGCTGGAAGAGACAAGGAATGTTTCCTCTAGGGCTTCTGAGGGAGCATGGTCCTATCCACACGCTGATTCCAGACTTTCGCCTGCTGTAATGGTGGGTGAAGACATGTTGTTCTTGTCAGGCTGAAAGTTTCCGGACCGTCACCAGCATTCTCTGTATTCTGTTTGTCTTAGTTTGGCAACTCTATCGTACTTTGTTCAGAAGTTCACTGGAACTCACTGTCAGCCTTCCAGATAGTTAGGTTAGCATCTAACACACAGCACTAGAATGCTTCAGTAGCAGAATACAAATGAGCTAGTCCATTCTTATGGTGCAATGTACTTACCTTTTGGAAATTTACCTTTTGCACTGTAGAGCATACCAGAGTGGGTCCTGGCCCCAGGCTGGACCATTTTGAGAAGTCCTTAAGAAATGAGATCTGTTCCACCTGGAAGTTGAAGAAAATTGAATTAATTTAATGTAGGGGTAAATAAGAAAGCTTAATGGTGAAATAACAACTGGACAAGAATTAAATTAAAATTAGAGAAGTTAATAAGATGTCTAAAATGAAGCATGAACTCTTTGAGTTTAATAGCTTAGGTTATCAGTGGAACTGAAAATGTTTAAACATATTCAAATTAGAAAACGTACAGAGAAAAATATTTCAAAAGCAAACAGCCCTACTAAGTCAGGAAATATCTCATAGGAGAAAAGAAAAAGAGGGGATTAGGTAGGATGCATAGTATTCAATACTGGGCACAGCCATCTCAAAGTCACTGGAAAATTTTGGCCTCCGTATCCACAAGTCCCAAGGAACCTCAGGCAGGAGGAAGAGAGCCCAGCAAAGGAGAGCATGCCCAGAACCAAGCTGCTGAAAGCCAGCGGTCAAGAGGGCATTTCAATGGAACCAGATTTAAAAGAAGGGAGGGACACTGTGTAATGTAAGATTGGGGAAATGAGGGAGAGTTCACAGTGAACTTCTTACTAGAGCCACAAAAAAGTAGAAGACATGAACCGACACACTGATGGCATTACAAGGGCAGCGAGCCAGCAACTACACACAACCCACAGTCCTGTGTCAAGTAAGTAAAGTAAATGGATATGCTTAAAATGAGAGTGAAACCGAGCAAATGTCAAAAAGAATCTGTCATTAGCAGAATTATACTATGAGCAATGCTAAAGGGAATTTTGAAAGTCTGAAGAAATACTGTGCCAGCCAAAAACTGGGATTCGTGGAAAGAAAGAAATGGGGAGGAGTGAGAACCACTGCTGTGTGGTTAACAGTGAAAGCACAGCTCTTTCTAACTGGGTTTCTTAGAAAGCCAGTGACCATTGACAGCAAGGTGCTTGCATTGTGGTTTGTGCTTTACATTATATTTGCAAGTAAAAGGTAAAATGATAGCAGACAATGAACACAGTGAAAAAATTAGAAAAAAATCAAATGTTTCAAAGTGACACAATATGTGGAAAATTTATTATGTCTATGTTTATTACAGAAAGCAGATTAGTAATTTGAAAATCCCCAGGAGGAATACAGGGCCCAAATAGGGTCCATGAAAGCTTCTAGTAAATAATGAATAACTAAAGAGTATCAATTTTAACCAAACTGTTTTGAAAGTAGCAAAATATTGATTAATATATAAAAACTAGCAGAAAAGTACTAGAAATGAATTTAAAAATATTCTTTTTTTTTTGTAGCAACATTAAATGTGTATGATACTTAGGAATAAGGTGAAAGATACACAGTAACATCTAGAGCCTAAAATGTGTAAATCATTGCTGGAATAATTTGAAGTTGACCTAGGAACACAGGAAAAGAAAGATATCAGGCTTATGAATTAACAGAAACAAAACTGTTAACACCACAGTATCCACTGAGTGATGATATACTCACTGGAGTCCACTCAAAATCTCTGCTGAGTTATTGTTAGTAATTGCTGTCCTGATTTTACTATCTACGTGCAAATGTAAATGATCTAGAAGCACACACTTTCACAAGGGAATAACAAAGCTAAAGATTTTACACCACATGAGTTCCAGAATTTATTATGAAGATGCAGCAATCAATACAGCCAATTAGATCATGGAACAAAGAGGGGCCCAGAAAGGGACTTACACTTATATTGTACATTTTTTAAGGAGCCATGTGACCAATCACACTATCAGTGAAGAAATCGACTCACTCTGTAGCACTGTAAACCTGGACAGGTATATGGAAGAAATAACAACATGAATTTCACTAATAAAACTTTGTTCATTCATCAAACTGTATAAGTAATAAATAGGTAACCACAGACTGGGGAAAATATTCAAACATAGGTAGCTGAACAAAACACGTGAACTTTGTCCAGAATGTCAGAAGATTTGTACAACTCATAAAAAGACAAGGCAGTCCAGAGAGTGGACAGACAAATGAACCCCAGTGGACATTTCCCAGAAGATTACGAGTGGGGAGCACCTGTGAAAGTGTTCAGCATTGGCCATGGATAACATAAATGAATGTTATCCTGAAGTCCCATGGTGTACCAACTGGAGGGGCTAAAGTTAATCTAGTCTGTTAATAAGATGGTCACTGTTGGTTTTGGCAGACCGCTAAGCACTGGAAACACGCGTGGGTGCAGACTACACAGCCACTTTGGAAGTCAGTGCGCAGCTTTGGGTAGAGTTAAACTGGATCCTGTGGCCAAGAATTTCTATTCTCCACTGAGAACCTGGTGTGTCTATGTTCTTAGCAGTTTTATTCACAGTTGGCAAAGCTAGAAACAATTCAATTAAACATGTTTCTCTGGAAGAAAGAATACTTGTGCTATATACTTTCATCAAAATACTACACAGCAATAATCAAGCAAATTACCTATATGCACAGTAATAGAAATTAATGTTAAAAACAGTATGTTAAGGAAAAGAAAGTCATGGGCAACTATGGTATATTTCATATGCATGAAATTCTAGAAACACACAGACAATACTGGTCCTTGCTTTAAGAAGGATAAATACATACACCTATATTCATAAGGAGGAACCTAAAAACACTGAGTTCAACCTAATGTTCTCCAGAGGCACAGGTCTCTGTGTCCAGATATCTATCCATCAAGGTCACAATCAGGATTGGAGCAAGCCTCTAGGACAATTATTTCTAATAAAAATCAATGTATTTTGCTAACACTTGATATTAAAAAACCCAAAAACTCAAAGGCTGGGAAGCTCTTACTTAGCAGGAGGTAGTTTCTAGAGAACATCTTGTAATCTGTGTGACAGTGTGGCCCCACCAGAAATGTCCTATGTCCCTCACAGCTTGACAATCTCTCACTGGACCTTTAGATACCTACAAAACACTCTGAGCATAAAACCCGATTGTCTTTCTATAAAGGTGAAGAATGCTTTAGCAATGTTAATTACACATGTGAATGTCCACCCTTAGGTTTGAAAGTGATGGAATCTTCTCTCATTGAACTCCTCTCATTGATGTGCAGGGCATGTTGGCCCCTGAATTTGCTGATAAATTACTGGTTTCTGAGATTTAACCTATGCCAATGTCATCTTACAGTAATTCAACAAAAGTGGAAATAATCTGACCAGCACTTTGTCAGAGGTTTTAGAGAGCTGTGCCAGGGCATCAATTTTGTGATTGTATGCATGTGCAGAAGCTCATTTTACATTTCTTTTACTTAACTTCTTTATTATGTTATGGCTGTTATTATGTTAAAATATGCATGCAATTCTGCTGCATTTCAGGATAGCTGGGGAATGTATTAATGCACTTTAATCAAAAAGGTCATGGACCTGGTAGAGATGAGACCTTATTCTGAAGATGTTCATTGTCATACTCATGGTGACACTAAGGACTCGGTGGGCACTGGCCAGGTGGACATCTGAGCAGACAGAACCTGAGCTTCTGAACCAGGAGTCTGCGTGAACTCTTCCACAAGCTGAGGAGCTGAACAGAGCAGGGAGGGGCAGAGGCGGTTTACTCAGGAGGAAAGGTCTGGAGACTGAAGGAACACGACATAGTCTGTGTGTCCTGACATCTGTCTGGGAAAGTCTTGGTTCTCCTTCTGCGGACTACCTGGTTGCATCTATGTATGTTCCTCAGCGTGTCGTGTTCTTGTTTAAATCCTCTTTAGCACCTCGAATGAGCACACTTCCTATCAGAGGTTCAATCCTGAGCCTGTCAGTTTGAGCTTAAATGGTGTCTCCTTTATTACTTCTGCTGTTGGTGCTCAGTAGATATGTTCTTTATTTCTATTTAATAGCATTCTAACTCTGTCTGGTGTAAATTAAAATTTTGGATAATCATTGAAATGCTGGTCACTTTTCCTGGCATGTAAGCAAATGTCTTGCCTCTGACATCTCCTTAGGAATTTCTCTAACAAATTGCCTAGCAGAAAAACAGATGCCCTAAATGAGTTTCTACAGATTCCACAGAGATGAGAAATAAATTCACTAGTTTGACATGAAGAATATGCTTAGCTCCTACATTTCTAAATTCTAATAGAGACTGGGAAAAAAAAAATATATATATATATATATATATATATATATATATATATATATATATATATTGGTCTTTTTCCTTTGTTATCGGTACCGGGGATCGAATTCACGACTGCCTGCTTGCAAGGCAGGCACTTATGCCGCTGAGCTAAATCCTCAGCCTGGGAAAAATAATTTTAATTTACTGGCATCTACACTTAGGCAATTCACAATGTATTAGGATGAGGAAGCATAAAAATGTACAAACCTTTAATAAGATTAACTGCTGTGGATGGACTTGGATCTGTGGTTCAAGAGAAGTCTTCTTTGAAGGAGAAAGGTTATTACGGGAACTCTAGTGGGTATGTACAAAGATTACAAGGAAGGGAAAAAGCGTATAGAAGAACTATGGTAGACAAGTAACTGAAAAGAAAGATTCAGACTAAACTTGGAAAAACCTTAAAACTTATTATCAACAATAATAAGGGGTTGGAAGTTGCTGTAGTTTGGAACTTGAAGGTCCCCAAGCCCACATGCTGAAAGCTCACTTGCCAGCTCTGCAAGACTCAGGGGAGGTGTAGAACCTTTAGGGTGCAGGGTGTAGAAGAGGGAAGTCAGGTGGTTGGGGTGTGACTTTAAAGCGGATATTAGACCTGGACACTTCCTGTGTGTCTCTCTGTTGTCCATCTGCTGTGTGCTGAAAAGCCCTCCTCAAACATGTGCTCTTACCTGGATGTACAGCAAACAACAGTAAAACCACAGAGTCAAGCAAGCATGGACTAAACCCTGCATACCATGAGCCAAAGGAAAACCTTTACTTCCCATAAGTTGATTGCCTCAGGTTCTTCATCATAGCACACAAAGCGAAAAAGTTAGAAAAGAAACAGAAAGACATGATTAGGTCAGTGCTATCAAATGATCTCCAAGAATCAGTGGATTCAGAGTAGGGGTGAGAAGAATGGAGGAGAAGCTAAAAGCCAAGAGAGCTAGTGGAAGTCTCAGCTGATTTCTCACTAAGGTTTACCCATGAGGCTCATAGAATAGAAACAGCTATGGATGAAAATTTCAAAAACACTTTCTAGGCTGAAGATAAAGGCCTTGAATTTTCTTTTAAATGTCACCCATAGAATCACATTGACCTTTGGGAATGTTTCACAGCTCTCACAGTTCCTTCTGAAAAACCCATTACTGTCAATGGCTCTCTGAATTTATGAGCAGTTATCTCTGCTCTTATATTTACTCTTCCAAGTTGACTTGTTTATCACATGACAAATTAGAATAAGCTGCTTTATAAGTTTTGGAAGTTAAACCTGCAGAAGCTTGACAAATAAAGGAGCCACTGAGAAGTGCAATGGACGGAAACGGCAGATGGAAAGACCAGAGAATCACCAGTTACCTTGGTCACATTTGGAAGCTCAATTTCAGCATATGTCAGATTCCATGTGAGTCTCAGGAGCTCTGAGATGGAGGAATTTCAGGTGCAGCAACAGAATGGGTTGGTCTTTGCTATCATGCACAAAAGGAAAAATAAACAAATTATAACAGGAAAAATTAGTGCTTATATTGTTTGATCAGTTTTGCATGCCTATATCTGGTCATCTGTGCAACTATTTTGATGACAACAATATCCAATATAATAACCATTGTTTCCTATCATCTTGTTTTGAAATTGCATAATTTTCATTGTTTTAAAAATTCTCTTTAAAATTAAAAAAAAATACTCAACTGACTCTCAATGAAAGTCATTTGTCTTTCAAACCAAACGGCTTTTCAGTGCTCTCAGGAAATGTCCATACTGCTTGGCTTTGCAAAGACTGAACCATCAAGGCTGAGCTCAGCAAACAGCCCTGACCTCTGAGCAAGACCCTTTGCAACTTAATAAAAATGGTTTTTTTTCCTTTTCTGTGTTAAATTTTATGGTCCCCAATGCATAGTGGATTGCAATACAAGATAGCTGATTTATTAACCAGCATTTATTTTTGTTCTTATTTTATTGCAACCTAAGTCAGCTTATTAATCAAATGTACCATGTTAATTCACCCTTAGAAAGATAAGATAATCCTTGCCTTCTAGAAGTACGTGCACCCCGACTGACTGCTCTTGCCACAGATGGTAAATAAGGGGTAGGGACCTTGGAAATCCGACCAGGAGCATGGTAATCAAAATGAGCCACACTGACCCCACACTGCCCTCTCCACCTGGTATGGGAACTCACCATGCTGCAGCTGATCTGCACAGACTCTCATCTGGAAGTGCTGCCTAGGGGAGAGACAGAGAGTGAATGTCAATCATATAAAAATACCAAGGCCTAAAGAAGAATAATTACTTTTTCTCCTTGTTGTCTTGAAAAAGATATCATTTTCCCCAAATGACTAATAATACAAAATATTTCAAAGGCTGTAGATAACAAGGAATAATAAATTCTAATTGGTAAAATATATGCAAAACATTTTATTATTATTATTCTCCTTTTAACATTTTTCTTCATCATGGCTAAAAGTCATGTGTATTTTTCTCTTAATTTTACTATTTTGACTAAATTTGACTTGATTTTCAGTGTTTCTTCAGATTTCTTTTTGGCGTGCTAACCATTTACAAGTCACTTTTACTGCTTTACCAATACATTAAGTTCACTTTAATCTCTTCTTATCAATTCTGGTAAGCATCTTTTACTATTTGCTGCACCAGTGTCCTCAAGAAACTATTGGATACTTTTACCTGACAGAGTGAAAACTCAGAATATCTAGGTCAAAGACCTAATTTCACAGGTGAGGTATCCAAAAGCACTGGTGGTATGGTACATGTGTTACTCAAGGTTATGAAACTGTTTAAGCAAACCCTGAGGACTAAACACAAATATCTGAATTCCCAGAGTTCTCATATCATTCAAGTTTCCTCTGCTAGTCCACAGTGATTTGATTGGATTGTTCTTTTGTGTTGAATCATGAGTGCTTCATCCTTGATCAGACTATACTATGGTTTAATCAGAAACATTTGGATTTAAACTCACCTGTAAAGTATATGACTGACCAAGTTACCTCATTATCCTCATACCAAATAATATTTCTGTAAAATAGGTACTGTGATACTTTTACCACAGAGCCATAGTAAGACAAAGATAACATAGTAAATACAAACATCTGGTTTATTTAGCAAGAAAATTAGTGTTATGGTTTGTGCCTGGATATCCCCTCTAAGTCTCATGCAGTCATGGGGTGTGAGGATTTCAGAAGGGGCTGAATCTAGAATTTGTATTTGGTTCATTGTCTAGTGCTGGAATTGGGGTGTGAGTGCTACACCAGCCCTAGGGTGGCCATCCTGCATGTAACATGAGAGGGAAAGAGGCTTGCTCCACTCCTTTTGCTCTTGCTGCTTTGGTGTCTTCCACCCCTGGAGTGATTGCCCTCTGCTCTGTGCCACTCTGCCTTGGAGCCAGCAAGCCTCCAAGTGGAGGCTGAGCGGGGCCAAATGATGTTCACAGAGTAGTTAATGTAGGAACTGACACAACAAGGCTGAGAAATTCATACTACACAGAAGAGGAGTCCACTACAGTCCACCCCTTAATCACTCATATCTACACTTGCTTTCCATTTGAGTTCTTTTCCTCTTGATCTTCTGATATCAAACATATGGGTTTTTTTACTCGTATCAAGCAGTTATTCAGCTGGATACCCTACGATTAAATTTGGACATTCTGATAGTATTGCATTTCCAAAACCATCTCTAAAATGTAATACTCCTTGTTCTTAAATTATTTGACAGTGTGTAATTTGATAGCCTTACAAAAATTAACTAATACTATTATTTTTTGCTATATAGAGGATTTAATCTAGTGTCTGCACGGAGGTACATCCTGAGTTGCTTTTTAATGTCTTATTCTGAGACAAAATCCTGCCAATTCACTGTGTACTTAAGCAAGTCTCAGACTCCTGCCTCAGTTTCATAAAGTGCTGGAATTCTAGGCATGTGTCATTAGACCTAGTAACATTATGATGTTTTCCTATCAATTTAAGTACTAGGAATTTCATGTGCAATGATGAATTTCCAAATTGATGACTAAAGTTTACGAAGCTCTACATCGGCATTCATTAATGATATTTACATTTTCAATGCTTTTGTAAATGACAAAGTTGTTTAGACTTCTACTTTGACTTCTGATTACTAGTGTGAAATAACACAAGTATACAAGTATGGTTTAAAAAGTAATCTCCCCACCCAAATTAATCTTTTATTATGCAACTATCTAAATCATTTACTGGTTCTTCAGTAAATATTCTTCAGTCTGCAACATTTACATTGTCTATTCTAAACAGACAAGATGGCCTTGGAATAAAGATAGTTTTATCTTTTCTGTTTTAGTCTCAAGACTTTTTAAATTGTATTTTGCTGGATTTATTCTTCTGGCTAAAACTTGCAGTGTAATGTGAAATACATAAGTGAGAATGGACAATCAGTTACTTCTGATCTTAGGTTGAAACATTTGATGTGACTTCTTTTTGGGGGGTACTGGGGAGCAAACTCATGACCTTGGACTTTCCAGGCAGGTGCTTATGCCACTGAGCTAAATCCCCAGCCCCAATGTGACAATTTAAGAAAAAAAAAATTTTAAACATAAAAAAGACAACAATCAAGCAGTGTCAAAACAGGTTTGTAGGAAAGTTATAATAGTTAATATATTGTGTATTGTTGTCTTTGTAGTCTTTATTAAGTGGATGTTAACTGTTTTTGGTTGGTACCATTACATAAGATCAGAAGTGTCACTATTTTTTAATTTTATTGCAGTCACTTTTTTTGTAGTTTGCTAATGTGGTGAATATATTGAGCTTTTTTTATGTCTTTGTCTAGTTTTGTTAGCATGGTCATGATTATCACATGAAATAAGTCAGGAATCAAAGCAGTGTACCTTTTCTAAGTGTTTAAAAGGATTTCTAGGTTACTAGTATTATTTCATTTTAACATATTTGTTGAAAATTAACAGAGAAATTATCAGGCATATGAATAAAGCATAAAAAACTTCAGTCACAGTATAGGTCAACTGTGTTTGACAGAAACATACAAAATACTCTACCTAGCAATAGCAAAACACATTTTTCTCAAGTGCACATGGAAATTTTCCAAGATAGGCCATATGTTAGTCCACAAAACAAGTCTTGGTGAATTTCACACACAGTGTATTATTATAATGGAATAAGACAAGAAATTTATACAGAAGAAAAACAAACAATTTAATCTAAAAATAAAAACCAAAAATGTAAAAATTTCAAAAGTGAAAAAGAAATTATAACATACCACCTTATACCAAAATGAAGTTAGACCCTTGCCCTTCATTATATAGAAAGTTAACGCAAAGTGAATTAGAGGCTTAAATGTAAGAGATACAAGTAGAAAACATTCACAGTATAAAACATTGGAGGAAGCCTTCATGATATCAGACTTTACAATGAATTGGATAAGATTCCAAAATCACAAGAAACATTAGAATGAAACATACATTGGATTAAATGAAATTTAAAACTTTGTGCATCAAAAGATGCTATCAGTGGAGTGAAGAAACAACAATCCATAGCATAGAAGAAACTATCTTCAAGTCATATTATCTGAGAATGGTGAGTATCCAGGATATATGAAGAGCTTGCACAACTCAACAGCAACAGTTTATTAATAACTGGGAATTGAGCAAATGCTGTGAGTGGACTTTTTTCTGAAGTTATACAGCCCAACACTCATGTAAGAAACACTCCACATCAGTGAACATTAGGGAAATATAACTCAGACTCATATGAGAGACCACAACACATAAATGCAGATGACTTTCAAAAAAGGAAAAAATTAGTGTAATCTCTATTTTAAAAAGAAGAAAAGAAAAACGCAAAACACAGTTTGGTGAGGACATGGAGAACTTAAAACCCTTTCCCTTGGAATATAAAAAGTTGCAGCTGCTATGGGAAGCAGCAGAATTACCATAGATCCAGCAATTTCACTTCTGGGAACATATCCCAAGGGACAATCCCAGATACCGAAAGGATATCTGTACACTGATATTCACAGTAGAAGTTCTCAAGAGTCCCAGACGAGAAGCTGGCAAAGCATCCAACCACAGAGACTTAAAGAAAATCACACACAATGTACAGTATCACACTATTTAGCTTTGAAAAGGAAAATAATTCAGATACACATACAACAAGGAATAGCTTTGGAGACATGCTGCCAGGTGAGAGACGCCATTCACCACATGGCACATGTTGTGCGACTCCACTCCCACCAGCTCCCTGCTGCCCCCAAATTCACAGAGACAGAAAGGGAACAGGTGAAGTGGGGGCGGGGCAGAGGGAGCTGGAGCCCACTGGGTGGGGAGTTCCAGCCCAGGATAGGAGAAGCAGCTCTGCAGGTGGGTGGTGGTGATGACAGCCCAGCAACAGGAGCAAGCCTCTGGCCACTGACATTGGCACATCTAAAAGTGGTTGTGATCCTAACATTTGTGTTGCACACACCAACTGTAGTTAGGAAAAATATTAAGAAATACCAAGGAAGCTTTCAAGTTCAAGGACTCACTTATTTTCAGTTTTATTGTTATTTTTTTTATGCCAACCCTTTCTTGACTGTCCTGAAGTGCTGATGAATCAGCTCAGTGTCCCTCATTATGCCAGTCACACTGTCATTGCAGTGGGTTGAATGGTGGCCAAAGGATGTGTGGCCATCCCTTTCAACAATCGCTCCTCCACGGTGGCAGTTCTTCCAGGCCAGGCTGAGGCTCCCTCAGGCACGGGGGTACCCAGACTCGCAGATTCAGGGTCCTGTTCGACCTGGCAGGAGCCATGGGCGCCGGGCCTGCCCTGAGCTCCCGGCCCGGGTGCTGGCCGCTGCTCATCCCGCCCTCCCGGGAGGCCCGCGCGCAGGGCGCCTCAGTCCGAGGAGGTGCGGCTGGAGGCGCACAGGTGGGCAAGCCAGGCCACCGGCTCCCCGCGACTGCCGGCTGCTCCCGCCGGCTCCCCCCGGCTCTGACCGGCTCCCCCCGGCTCCAACAGACTCCCCTAGGCTGCCCCCTGGTCCCCGCGGCTCGCCCCGGTTCCCCCCGGCTCCCGCCTCCCGGATCCCTTTGCTGGCGGTCCGGGCCCTCCGCTCCTGTCCCCCTTCTCCTGCGCACCGGGACCGCAGCTCAGGTTCTCTTTCCCGCCCTCAGGCGAGAGGCCGCGCCTCCCCGCCGGCACCAGAAGCCAGCAACCAGCGCGAGAACAAGCCGGGAAACCAATGAAGGCGCCCACGCGCAGGCTCCCCAGCACCATCTGCGGCCCCTCCGATGCCCGGGCCGAACCGCGCCCCCAGGGGGCCGCTCTGGGCTAGGGCGCCACGGGAC